TATCAGAATATTATATTGTATTTTTTCTATTTGTGTAAATTTTGATAATACCAGGTATAGGTATTTTTTTTTTATTCATGGTACAGCATCAACTAGTAACTACTATAGGTTATTAAAGCTATTATAACAAAAAATATTATAGTTACATATTATGAATAGTACGATGGTTTCTTTAGATTAAATTGTACATATCAATACGTTTTAAAGCATTTCTTTTATTTTGTAGTTAGATAGTTATGATATTATTGTATTTAAATTATTTTTAGTAAAAACTGTAGATATGTAATATTATTAAGTTCATGCTTATTTGTTAATATTATTGAATAAGGTAGGTTGGTAGGTTTGTCACAGCAACAATATGCAATTTTGTTTCATAAGTAAGATGGCAACATTATTAATGGCAGTAGTTATTTTAATCTTTTATATTATTTCGGCCGTTTGATGATGAATTTGAGTGTTTCAGACCTACAGCTGTTATACACATACATACAAAAATGTTATGTTTCAGAGTTATTTATAAAATATACACGGCACTTGGAAGTAAATGTAATTATTATAACTCTACTTATATAATAGCTAAATGAGTTTTATTGGGCAAATAATCAAAAACGTAATCTTGGCATAACCATTTTACGAACCGAAGGAATAATAATCATGTTTTTGTTTATTTTAACACGTGCAACTGTGCAAGTTTAACTTTTAAACCAATTAATGATGTTTCGTATTATGAATGAATAAACTAAAAATGTATTTTAAGCAGGTTGAAATTTGAAAAAAAAGACAAAATTAATGTTCTTAGTTCTTACTAGTTACAACTACTATATAACAATATTATAATTTAATTACATTTACGTGCAATATTTTACGAGTTATATTCCAAGAATAATTATAATTATAAATGTACATATTAGTTGTGTTAGTCATAAACTCATAACTGTTATTATTCACATTTGTTTTTCATCAATTCATTAGTCATTTTATTTTAAAACCTCATTGCTATTTATTTAAATTTTCTATTGTAGTTTATTATTATTACTGTTATTAAAAACATTTATACCTGTAAAACAGTATTCGACAATATAACAAGAAATAGGTATATATTATTATTTTTATTACCAAGTATGTGACATAGAGAGCGATGTAACTTTTATTGACATTTCTATATAGTAGGTAGGTAATAGGTATAGCTTAACGTTATATTATTATAAATTACCATGCATTTAAATACCAATATGAACAGTTAAATTAATACGATTGTGGAATACAAATATACCTAAACTTAATTACATTTTATGAATAATTTATATACTTCAATAACTATGGCATTACCTATAGCAATATTATTTATTTATGTATAATATATATTAAATAGATAAAAAATGTACCTACCTACAATGTTATATGAGTATTAATATAAATACATCAGCCTTATGACAATATAAGTTTCATGAAAAAAATTGGTCTGTAGTTAAAATAATAATAATTACTCTGAAATTATAAAACTATTATGTACCTGCATATATTATACTTCGATAAGTCGTCCAATCATATTCGTTTTATATTATATGGTTATTGATTAAATATATAACATTGAACCTAAATTAAATTGTATTATGATTAATTTCAAAATATAATTATTTTGACTTACCTGTAGAATTTGTTATGTTACAGTTTATCAATTCTGAATGAAACGTTACTCGAATAATACTATTTTATTATGCTAACATTGCTAACAATATTTTAAGTTAAACGTGAATTTTATTTATAAGCCTTTATGTTCTTACCCAATGCTAAAATATATTTATACAGGTATTCAATAAAATATATTAGTATATTATTATGTTCTGTTATAAGTAGGGACCTATAATGTTTTTCTTACATTTTAAAATAATACGTTGAACATGAGAAATTACTAAGAGTCTATGAGTAGAAAAACAAAATATGCAACATACAAACAAAATAAAAATAAAAGAGTCAAAGTTACATTAGTTATTTCATACCGTCACCGTCTAAATGTTTTCTAAAATGCATAACTTATTAGACTACAATACATATTACCTACAAGCAAATTATTAGTTGATAGCTGATCATCGTTGATATTAACCAACAATATACAAATAGATTGTACAATTTAATTAAACAAACATATTATATAGGTAATACAAAAATAAGATTACAATCATTATTCATCAATGTCAATAATAAACACTTCTTTGAAGCCTAAATATTTGTTGTACAAATTTATACAACACAAAAAACTAATGAAAACAATCCACAAATTTAAGCATTCAAGAAACCAATTTTAATCGCCAACAAATAATCAACTCACACAACATATCTACATGCCTATAAAAAAAATTGTTATGATAGTGGCTTTGCAATTTTTGTTTTTTGTTGACGTTCAAAGCAAATCAAAGTAGGTAGGTAGGTAGGTAGGTATTACTAAATATATAAAGACAAGTGACAACCAAAAGTCAATTACTGCAATCAATAGTATGATAGATACGAGAATAACAAGATTACGAATTAATGAACCATTAAAGTATTTCATAATCTTGCCGACCGGAAAATTAAATAGCACAATCAATTTATTGTTTGTATGAAAAAAGCGTGGAAAAATGGTAGATGATATTTTTTATCCCAATTTAAATGATAAAACTTCATACATTTCACTGAAAAAAATAAATACAAAAATGAAAAATCTACTTATTATTGAACACACATCTTTGTACTCATATAGAATTCAGACTATAGTCTTCGTGTACGACACAATTCTGCGGAGTTTCATGCAACTCAATTCTTAATCGATTGAAATCAATAATAATAATATTTAATAAAAAAAACATATAATATTCTTGAAGTACCTATTTTAATGACCGACATCAGTGAAATCATTTAAGCTACAAGGAAGAAACCCAACACCTAGTATAGATACATAAGCATGTATGTATACAGTGTTAATAGTTTTTAAAACAATGTAAAATTTAAAATCTTATTTAACCAAGTAATTGTAATTTTTAATCCTTAATATCAGTCTTGTTCAAAATAAATAAAAGATAAATAATATAAAAATATAATACTTCAACAATTCAACATTATTTTTTTTCTATTCTTTATAATGAGTTATGAGTACCTACATTAATATTGGTGCCATTATTTTTCTATAGTCACAAAATGGGTAGACATTATGAAATTTGAAATCCAACTTAATTTGTTTATCTACTAGCATTTGTGAGCTTTATCATACATAAACTATTATATACATTTCGTATTAATAATCAATAAATCTTGTAATTTATTTAAATATACATATACCTATTACAGTTCACTAAATACTTGCATAAAATTACACAGCACTAAAAAAATAGCTTGTGAGTTGAGATCACAGTTATCTACACTGTAGATTGAGACTAAGGGTAGCAAACCTCAGAAATCATAACATTTCTTTATTTATTTTTCTTTATTGGTTTAAATAACATCATGTAACATGGAAATTACATTATAAGACACCAACTACGTGGTTATTAACCACTGATTAAATTGTTTACATTAAATACCAGTTATCTATTTACATTGGTTGTCATATTTATATTTATACAATGGTTTTCTTAGTCATAAACTCATACAATTTTAACAATTCTCATAATTGATTGAAGGAACATTTTAAAATCTAAGATTTTTCTTTAAGTATACCTGCATGTTACATTTTGGTGTAATTTTTTTTTGTTTTAAGGAATTTAAATTTATATTACCTTAAATAAAGATTATAAATATAATGGTATTTACCTATAAGGTTTTTTTAATGTACGTACCTAAATATTTATTTATATGGCTTACTAATTAGTAATTATACTACTTAATTATAGATCTGCAGCTGCTACATAAGCCTATGATATAATGCATCATCATCAGCGAAATGTATTACTATGACATCTAATACGACGTTGGCAATAATCAAATAAGCAATAATTAGTAATGACTTAATTTCGTGATACGAAAATATATTTTTTGTAGATACAATATTTGATAAACAATGGAACAAACTATAAGACGATCATTTGTCCGGTAATCCGAAAGCGTTTTTAAAAATGTAACAAAAATAACTTTGCATAAGGCATAACGGTGTACTCACTTCTCGATTTACTAATATTTGAATCGGGATTTATAAATTTACCTATTTACCAAGATTGTAAAATACGTAGATACACATAGGCCATTCGCTAAGTAGAATATTAAGTGGCAGACGTCATAGGAATATCGAGATGGAATATTGATCGAAAATCAGAATTGTTTTTTAGCGTGTTATCCTAATGTAATCATGGAATGTTTACGATGATGTGTGATGTTCTACATTCTATAGAACGATAATATTACGTAAAATCATAAAGGCAATTAATATAAAATAAACACTATTTTTTAAGTTGAACTGCGTAGAAAGTTCTTAACAAATTGTAGTAGTATAGTGGTACAAATACTGTTTGCTAATAAGTGTTTCACTGTTACAGTGGCGTGGCGACAAGATTTTTATGTAGGGGCGAATACATTTTTTTGGTACCCACCCACGTCCCACAGATTATAACCCCCCCCTCCCAACTCCTTTATTTTACTACACTCTTATGTTCAAAAAAGTAAATTTTAATTTCTTATTATAAACCAATTATAAATAAAAGTTGTAACTAAGAATTGTAAAATATTATACAGCAGTGTAATTACAAATGTCATAAGGGTAAATTATAGTATTATTTACCATCATCTTAAATAAACTTATATTGTAGGACTTAAGGTAGGTAGCAGTTTTAGGAACTTTAATGACTTTCAATACTTATCATTATACATTTTTATTTATTTTTATTCCAATCTGTACTTAATATATTTATTAAATTAATATACTATAAATTACTTAAAATATATACTATTATAGTAGAGTTACTATATAAAGTACTTAGGTACATCTTTTTATTTTATTCATAAAATTATTATATTATAAAATCTATTTTTTTTTATTTAAATAGCAATGCCTCTTTTAATATTTTTGAAGTGTTTGCATAATTGTTAATAGCTTCATCCTCGTTTATCTCAATATTTCTTTCACATGATAGTAACATTAATGGTTCCAGTAAATTTTGTTTCATTGTAGATCTTAATCTAGTTTTAATCAACTTTAATTTAGAAAAAGACCGTTCACATGAAGCTGATGTTGCTGGTATTGTGCATGCATATTTATATGCTGTGTATAAATTTGGAAAGGCAGATATTAAATTATACGAGTTTAATAATTTAATAATATCTAAAGCAGTAATTTTTGGTGCATCCGTGTTACTTTCAGTTTCAGTATCACTGCTAGAATCATGAAGTTCATCGTCATCATTTTCATCGCCTGGTTCTGATTTGTTATGTAACTTTTTAATGTTTATACCATTTTTAAGTTCCATAAAGCATTTAGCAAATGTAATGTACTCCATTTTTAATTCATCAATTTCTATATTTGGAATCCAAGTTTTAAGATAAATAAAACAATCTTCAGGTATAGAACATCCTTCATTTATTGAAATTAGTCGTTCATATGAAAAAAATGATAGATCTGCCAAAATTTTTCTAGCCCCTTCAAATCTGGATGATATTGATGATATAATTTGATCCAAAACTGTGTTATATACTTCAATTTTATATCTATTATTTGGACTCAGGAATATTGTCTCAGTTCCTTTTTTTTCACCATCCATCACCTTTTTTATTATGTTTCGTTTATTTGGAAAACATGTCTGTTCTAATCCATTATCTTCAGCAAATTGTCTTGCATTGTCCAATAATTTATCTGCTGTATGATCTTCTCTCATATCAAACAGGTTTTTGGCGCAGTTGTCTACCATTGTTAGAGCTTGAATAAAATCTATACTTGGCGACTGTAAGTAAAGAGATAATGGAGTGGTATACTCAAATACATTTTTCATTAATAGCAAATTAGTTACAAACATAAAAGAAGACATAACTGTTTGTAAATTTTTAGCAGTGGCAGAAGTTTCTCGATCAAGTGAAAGTGATAAATCTTTTAATGTCTTCATAACAGCTTTATATTTAGTACAAATAACACCTAATACTTGGTGATGTGATGTCCAACGAGTATTTGAGAAGTTTTTAATTTTACAAATCCTTTCATTGGGATAATATATTTTCTGAGCTTCTATAAATAATGCTGTACGTTTTCGAGCTCTCATAAAAGATACTAATGATTGTAAATTACCAAAAAAAATTCTAGTCACAGTATTTTTATCACACGTATCAACTACAACAAGATTGAGTACGTGTGCAAAGCACCAAACATATATAGCTCTTGGATTTTTTTCTTGAACCAATGTCTTAACACCAGAATAACAACCTTGCATACTAGCAGCACCATCATACGACTGTGCACATAAATTATTTACCCAATCTATTTCAAAATGTTGACAAATATCACATAACAAATTGAACATTCCAAGTCCTGATGCATCAGAAGCTACCTTTATAGCTACCAATCTTTCTTCGACATCTCCATCTTCATTCAAAAACCGTACAATTAAAGACAATTGTTCAAGGTTTGCTACATCAGTAGTTGTATCTATTATGAATGAATATACTCCAGATGCTTTGATTTTCTGTAAGATTTGACCACGGACCATTTCACCTAAGACGTTGAGTATTTTATTTTGACTAACATTTGATAAAAACGTCAACCGATTCTTTCCCTTTACATCCCTAATCTTCAATAAATGAGACGATAATACAGCATTATCTGCTGATAATAATTTAATTAATTCTAAGAAATTGCCTTGATTTTTTGATGTTTTACTTTCATCATGTCCTCTAAATGCCATATTTTGTCTTGACAAGTATAACAATGCTTTAATAATTTTTTTTATAATCTCTCGGTTTTCAACCACTTTAGAATTCAAACCTTGAAATGATGGAAGGTCAACTCTTTGATTGTTTACATACATTGCCCGTCTTATTTCTGCTTGTAAATGGTCAGGAGTGGCTTCGTGGTTTTTAAGTGCATATGCCAAGTGCTTCCAATCATCATAACCAGATTTAGCTAATTTGTAGCTTTTGCATTCTGTGGTTCCAAATAATTTGCATACTATACAGTATACTTTATCAGTCGAAGGTGAATATGACACCCAAATCCTTTTAACAAATTTTCCTGACGCCATTTTTTTAAAATAATGTTCTTCATGAAATGAACGAGTGTATTTACCTTGTTTTTTTGTTGGAAACTTATGATTTTTTAAATCAAATGGTGCAGGTTGACAAGGTGGTTGCAAAGCTACTTGAGCAAATAATTCTGGAGACATTGTAAAATTTGATATGAAAGCTGGATCATTTGGAAATTGAATAGCTAAAAAAAAATTTTAAATTAATTTCTGACTTCTGTACCATTTCAGTATTTATTATTTCATATTACCATATGGCAAAGATGCCACTGATTCAACTAAATCTTCTGGGGATTCGTTCTTCTGTAAGTCAATATCTACAAAAGATCAAATTAACACTTCTAATTAAACACTTAAAGTATATAAAATTAACTATTCTATTTTAAATTAAATATTAATACCTGGATGAGACCTGGGTGTAGAGGAACAAGATACTACATTATTGTCACAATATACTACATTTTACATATCATTCCTTTTATGAGTTAATTGTTTTAAGCTAGTATTCATTAAATTAATAGCTTCTATAAAGTCTAAGGATTTGGATTGGAGATAATTCGAAAGAGGTGTAGTAATACCAAATATGTTTTTCATAAAAATCATGGATAAAATAAAATTGAATGAGGTTATTATTTTTAAAAAGTTGTTAGCTCCAGCAGAAGTGATTCTATCTTCAGAGTTTGATAGTTTTTGAAGTGAATTGAGTGTAGTCACTTAAATAGATCACTCTGTATAGTGTTGTAAAATATAAAAAAGTTTGAAAATAAATAAAATAGCAATATTCATATAATCTTAGACATTAATGTAGTACTAATTAAACTTGTCTCTCCAACAACAAAATTTAAATTTAATATATTTTCCTTACTTTCACAAAATTACCTAGCCTATCTGATCTTAATAATATTTAATGTATATTAAATATTAATTATTATTAGTTAAACAAAAAAATATAAATTACTTGTTTCTAGATGTTCAGCCATTGATGCATTAGCACTTGACTCAGCTACAAAATCAACCTCAGATATTGGAACTAAAATAATTAATACACAAATTAGATACCTCAATTTACTTATACCAATATACTTTTATCAATTATTGTTTTTATTTAATATCATAATGATGATTATTCTTATTATTAAAACACAATTATTTTATATAATTACCTGGGACTGGAAGACAAGTAGAAGTAGCAGAGACAATCGGTTCTTCATATGTTGTATTACTATTTTCAATATCATCAGTATTCATTACTTCTATAATAATTCAAGTAGATGTTTATAAATTAAAATATAATTGCAAATCTATATTATAGATAGGTAGATCGTTATTATTTAATACAAAATTAGTTAGTCTACATTAAATTAACACAACATGGTAAAACATTTAAATGCAAAATACTAAAATCAGTAAAATCCTATATTCAATCAAATAAAAAATGTTAATCATGAAAATGACAAATTGACAACCAAATAAATTAACAGATTTATCTCTAGATTTAAACTATTATTACCTATGGCATTTAAATTATTATAGTTAATAAAATAAGTATGGACGTATGGTTATGACTTATAAATCACACCTAATGAGTAATGATGGTTATTTTAATGAAAAAAAATTATTTTATTTATTACCTGGAACTGGAAGACAAGTAGAAGTAGCAGAGACAATCGGTTCTTCAAATGTTGTATTACTATTTTCAATATCATCAGTATTCATTACTTCTATAATAATTCAAGTAGGTGTTTATAAATTAAAATATAATTGCAAATCTATATTATAGATAGGGAGATCGTTATTATTTAATACAAAATTAGTTAGTCTACATTAAATTAACACAACATAGTAAAATATTTAAATGCAATATACTAAAATCCTAATTTCAATCAAATAATTTATTTGACAATAAGTTCAAACATTTTTTTTATTTTTACTAATTGGTAAGTGTTTATTTTCCATCAAAATATAGTTTTAAATAAAAATATGAATACCTAAAAATAAGTATACATTATGAAAAAACTATTTACCCAAATCTGCAGTGTAAGGTCCATCAAATGTAGATTTTTCGGGGATTTTTTTTTCGTATTCACTTGAGGACGTTGTAGGTTTTTTACACTCAACGGCCTCAACTTCCAAAGTCTCGCTGTTTTTATCACCTTTCATAAATAGTTAATTTGTTTAATATAATTAAAATTATAAAAATAATACGTAATAGAACAATAAAAATAAATAGAGTAGGTAACTTACATTCTGATATTCTGGTAAAATCTTTACATATTTTTTTAGCTTGAGATAAAGTAAAAAAAGTCTTAATAGTTTGATTTTTTCGTTTAGATTTACGAACGGGGCAAGCATTTAAGTGGCGAGTCCAGTTCACATCATTCATAAGACAGCGTTTTTTATTACAATCACATTTTTCATTTTCGTTAGAAGACATTATTTAAAAACACTGAATTAATTAGGAAGTAGATGCGTATTACTGACAATTTAAAGAGTCATACACATACGACTACGCAGCACACACGTTACACAACAAAATTAAATCAGAAGAAAATCAAATTATTTAAAACTCAACAATCATTAATCATAATAAACACAGCCGACTATTAGGCTGTGTGATTTCAGTTTAACCACGATGGTCGAAGACCGATACCACGGATAATAATATAATATGTATGTTTGTGATATTTTAGCGAATAGCAATGAAAGATAATAATACATTATTTCAATTTTATTTTAGGCTATTTTTAGACAGATAATAATATTTTTCCTATAAAACGGTGAACATGACGACAATAACATCAACATCATATATTCATATTATTGGAAATATTATTATTATTATTATTTATTATTATTAGCTTATCAATAAGATTATTTTATTTAATAGGTACCACTGGGCACTGACTATATGAAAATAAAATTCTATTAATCACGATTATGAAGAACTTTATAATCGTGCTATTTATTAATCAATTAATCTATGTTTTCTTACTGTTCTCAGTGTTCATACCTATTCAATATCACCACTGGGGGACCTACCCACCCACCCACCCTTCAATTTTACTAGGGGCGGTTGCCCCAAAAAATATCCTTCGCCACGCCACTGCATGGGAACAAAAGTATAAATGAACAATTTTACTGTAAATTAACAATAGTCATATAAAAATAATTCTATAGGAATGAGTCTTTCACAATAATCGTAGATCCAATTTATACTATCCTAGCTAAAAGTATTTTTTATCAAGTGTCGGATAACCTTAGTGTCAGCAGTGGACATTATACACATTTTTTTTTTACATTTTAAAACCTAAATGTTTGTATTTATTCAATATTAATATTAGACTGAATTTTAGTATTTTCTGAAATTTAAATAGAACATAAAACGTGATCTTAGTATTTTTTAAATGATTAAATCTACCAGACATTTTATATTAATTATTATCAACTAACATGTTCTAGTAAAAAAAATCAATACAATGACCTTAACAATAGATATCTATATTTTAATTATTATGATAAATCAATAAATTGTAATCTACATAAAATCGTTGTAGAATCACCTCTAGTGCGATTCTGTTAGTACCTTATGTTATGCGTCTATAATAGGCCCATATTCATGAAAACCATAGAAACAATATTCATACATGAACGTTGAAGTATAAATATAAATGGCGAACATATATATTATATATATATATATATGTATAACATATGTATATTCGTACACAGTACAGGTATGCTTACAAGAATATAGGGCCCCTGAGAGATTAAAATAACAAATTTTGGCGTGACATCTTCTTAATAATTAACAAATATGGTTATAGCATCAATGTCAGTTTTTCACGTGTTATACGTGTAGGTAGGTACATAGTATTTACTTCATGTCCAATTAGTAATTTGTATATATTTTATATACATATAAACTTTAAAAATTCATGTTTATATCTGCTGGCATAGTTGCAATATATATATATGATGCTGTTACATAAGCATTAATTTACCTAAAATGGTAATCTCTCGTAATTTTTATGACAAACATAAAACAAGTATTAACATTTATAATTTTTTAGGCGTATAATATTGTAATGCATACAATTTAAATTTCATATTAATTATCTACTTATCTATTATAATAATTTTTTTTGTACTTATTACAATAATATTTAATTACTAATTATTGATCATAAAATAGTATTGAATTGCTATTTTTATTGCTATTTTTTATTTTTTATTAAAAATATTGGAAACTATTGCCTACAGTTTTTTATAGTTGATTAATATATTTAACTTTTGATAATTTTATCGATTAAATAATAATGTTTTATTTTTGAATCACCACATAAGTATTAACATATAATCTTTAATAGAAATATAATTTTTTTTTATATTTCTGATATCTTTGAAAAATTGTAAAGTAAAAATCGTAAACAATTTCTCTATAAATTAGAAATTGAACAAACATTTTAGATTCTGAGTGGAACGATGAATGTATTGATTTTTCAATGATGTGTGTTTTTTTATTTTTTTTTTTTTGTGGCTGTCATCACCTTTTGGGACAGTAAAAGTGCTTGGATTTTTTTCAACAGTATCTTTTCTGATAGGAAAGTGAATCTAGTTGGTACTTTGGGGGTTCAAAAGTAAATATTATTCAGTAGTTTTCAAAAGCGACGTGAAAAACAAAAGAAAAATGAAGGAAAAACGGGAATTTGTACTCAAAATCTGTTTTCAAAAAAATCGATTTTGGTTTTTGGTGCAACTCTTAAACGAATGACCGTAGGTATATGCAATTTTGACTGAATGTTTATTTTATCATTTTCTATACAGCATAACATTTTCCAAATATTTTGACTTATTTTGAGCTCTTTACGGACATTTTCAGTTTCCATTTTTTTTTTAGTTTTGTTTTCTATAAATATCAATAAAATGTTAAATGTTGGGTAAAAAAGCTTGAAAATATAATGCAAAGCTCCTGATATACTTTCACAATAGTAGATGAAAAATATTAAAAATACATAGGCACCATATTTTTTTATAAGCAATTAAAGTTCAAATTTTGACAAAATTTATCACATTTAAAATTTAATAATAATTGTGTAGTTAAAAATTTATAAAATATTCAACTTTTATACCTAATGATTGAAAATTTAAAACAAGATTCTATGTACCTAAATAGGTTATATGTAAATTACTTTATTCACCTTAGTATCATCAAATATACTTCGTAATATCATAGGCTGACTGACCGTTTTCGCTCAGAATCGGTTTTTTTATACAATGATATTATATTATTGAATTCAAATTTAATACCATCCATTATACAGTGACCCACTTGTAACCTACTGTACAGCAGAGCGACTTTTTTAATTTTTAATTCCACAGTAGGTATATTTTTTTGAAAAATGGTATAAGTCAGAGCCAATTTTTATTACAAAACCTTGACCAATATAGTGTAAATCCAGCTCATATAATATGTTACCTATTCGATTGTAATAATGTATTATTGATTTCTGTTTTAAAAATCACTACCTTAGTAACCCACATAACTTTTGTATCTCATTTTTTATTTTGGATCTTTTTTACTATCATTAAAATATTAAGACAAAATTTGTTGGATAACAATAAATAAATATATGTTATCTTTAAATTATATTGAAGGATTTGAATGATACTTCCATTCGTGATATTGATAACATAAAATATTTTTATAATTTATTAATGTTGAAAGACACTACATTTACATTTTTGATTGAATATCAATTCACGTTCATATATACTCATAGGTAGTATTTTTTTTTTATCATTATTACATTTTTTAAATATTATTGACGTATAGTTATAATTGATAACTTGGTAAAAAGTTCTATAATTTTATAAAATAATAGGTCTTTCATAGGTACATTACACTAGCACCACAACCTAAACTATTTTCTTCGAAATCGGTTCCATTATTTAGTAACTAATTAGTAACCATTCGTAACCGAAAATTTGGAATTCGTAACCTAAACCAAGTACCGGAAAAGCCGTTTTTCCCAACCGGGTGCTGGCGTAACGTTACACCAGCACTCGCACATTGAAATATTCTACTTAGGAAGTTCAAAACCATACTAGGTTTTAGTAACCGATTAGTAACCATTCGTAACCAAAAATTTGGAATTCTTAACCTAAACCAAGTACCGGAAAAACCGTTTTTCCCAACCGGGTACTGGCGTAACGTTACAACAGCACCCGCACATTGAAATATTCTACTTAGGAAGTTCAAAACCATACTAGGTTTTAGTAACCGATTAGTAACCATTCGTAACCGAAAATTTGGAATTCGTAACCTAAACCAAGTACCGGGAAAACCGCTTTTTCTCAACCGGGTGCTGATATATTATAATCCTTAATATACTCTTTGAATATATTTTTATCAAGTATATACAAGCATATCCTTAATCAAAAGTATTTTCGGTAGTTTTTTTAACATGAATATATAAAATATATTTTATTTGTTTCATAATTTTAAATTAGTATAATTTTGTATATTTTTTTATTTTTATATTTTAATTTTAGGTCCGTGAAGTAAGCGGAAAAATGTAAGCACCTAAATCAGCTATAGCGCCAATATTTAGTGCTTAATTAGTGCTATTTGATGGTACCTTTTTCAAAATTAGTGCTATGTCCTATGTACCCTCCGATATGTGGGATTTCCCGTATTTCGTCCTAGCGGATGCAACATCAGCATCAAAGTCTTTTGTAGTACCAACTTTTAGTGCTCAATTAGTGCTATCAGGATGTCCAAAAATAAAAATTGGTGCCACCTCCAAACCAAAGTTATCGCCATCCCCATTTTTTAACTTACCGGGATTTTAGAGATTTCTGTTATAACACATTTTCATATGACAGAATTTTTATTAATTTTTATATTCAATTAATATTTTTATAAAATATGAATTTTTTATCAACATTTTTTTAATAACATTTTCTTATACTTTTTTTACCAATTTTTTAACAAATATTTTATTGATTCGTAAGAAACTGAATTTTTATTAATATTTATATAAAATTTGAATTTTTTAAAAAATATACATTTTTTATCAGACTTTTTACTAATTTCTTCTTTTATATATGAAATTAAGTTATAACAGAGATCTCTGTCTAAAAAATTATTAATATGTTTATTAAAAATACGTTGATAAAAAATTCATAAATTATGAAAAACATAAATTAAATTTATATTAATTAAAAAATGTAAAATGTATGATAAAAATGTATATTTTATAAAAAATATAAATTAAATATAAATCTTAGTAAAAATTATATTTGATAAAAATCTATAAATAAACTCTATGTTATAAAAAAAATGGATAAGAAATCAGTTTTATACAAAATATGTTAAAAAAATCAAAAAAAAATCTATCCGATAAAAAATTCAAATTGAATATAAATGTTAAT